CGGGTATCGCGCGTGCGCGGGGTGGGGTCTCGCTGGGCGCGGGAAAGACGCGGAGGGCGCGCAGGTGTGAGGGGCGGTGGCCGCCGTGAGGTCACAGCGTCCCTGAGTCACCCGCGGGCTCCAGCCTCGCCGAAGGTCTGGGAGGGCGTGCTTTTCGGTGGCCGCGGTCGTGTGAGCCTGAGGCTGGTCACCGGGAGCCGGATTCACGGTGCCCAGGCCTCGGGCCCTTCGGCTCCTGACTTCCGGCCACCGCGCTTCCGTGAGGGCCAAGTTCGCCTTTTATTTTTTCCAGGAAAGGATAACGGGAATCATTGAAGCGACTTGTCCCCCCACAGATCCAGGACGAGGGGCCTGGGCTTCTAGGCCAGGTCGGTTTTGACTTCCCGGGGTTCACGGGCTGGCCCCTCTAAGGTCCCCCGATGCCCCAGCCTAGAGGGAGGGGCTTCACATCGACGCCCCAGCCCATGGGCCGGAGTCTGGGTCGCCAGGGCTTCCTTCCCACGCGTAGACCCTCCCCATACGCCCCTCTGGCCCTTCAGACCCTGGGCAGAAGATGGGCAACCCCTTCTGCAGCGTGGAGGAAGCTTGAACTCCTGCCTGGCCCTGGCCCCAGGTGGCTGTGACCTTGTGTCCTGTTGGGGCTCATCTGTCCCCTGGGTGCAGCCAGATGGGCCAAGGTGAGGGTGGCCTCTGCCCTTAGCTAGGGCCCCTGGATGCAGACAGGGACAGGGACTGTTTATAATGATGGGAAAGTTTATAATGGTGGGAAACTGTGCTTGTTTTCAGATTTCCCAAGGGAGAGATAAAATGAGTAAGAGGAAGAAGCCTCGGGCCTCAGGTATCTGGTTCATTCCAGTTGATACTTCTTGATTGCTGCTTCTGCTGATAGGAGGAGCATGGGCTTATTTATTGCAGGACCGCTAACAAAACGGCCCCAAGCTCCTTAAAAGAAAATAAGGGCCAGGCGCAGTGTCTTTAATCTCAGCACTTTGGGAGACTGAGGCAGCAGGATCACTTGAGCCCAAGAGTTCGCGGCCAGCCTGGACAACGTAGTGTGATCTCATCTCTACAGAAAATACAGAAATTAGCTGAGTGTGGTGGTACATGCCTGTAGTCCCAGCTACTTTGGAGGCTGAGGAGGGAGGACCCCTTGAACCCAGGAGAAGCTGCAGTAAGCGGGATTGTGCCACTGCATTCCAGCCTACTAGACTGAGTGAGACCCTGTCTCAAACAAAGAGAAAGAGGCTGGGCTCAGTGGCTCAACCTGTAATGCCAGCATTTTGGGAGGCCGAGGCAGGTGTATTGCCTGAGCCTGTGGGTTCGAGACCAGACCAGGCAACCTGGCGAGACCTCGTCTCTACAGTAAATAAAAAAATTAGCCAGGCATGGTAGCATGCACCTGTATTTCCAGCTACTTGGAAGGCTGAGGGGGAAGGATCGCCAGAGCCCAGCAGGTCGAAGCTGGGGTGGCTGTGAGTGTGCCACTGCACTCCAGCCTGGGCAACGGAGTGAAACTCCAACTCAAAAAAAAAAAAAAAAAAAGAAAACAAGGATTTAATTCATGTTGGAAGGACAAATAGGAATGACAGAGAAGGGCATACAGGAAAAAGTTTTCTGGCACTTCCACCAGCCTCTGGTGAGGTCCCACTGCTGAAGTGGGGCTTCCCAGGCTTCGCAACCTCCCTACAGGCACCTCTCCCCCAGAGGTGACCCCTAAGTAGAGCTTGACTGCTGCAAGACTACTTGGTGTTTTGCTCTGCAGCCCAAAATTTGGGTTCATCCCAGCTCTCCTGATCACTGTGTGATGGTGGATGACTTACTTTGTGCCTCAGTTTCCCCCTTTTGTAAATTGGGACATAAAGGCAGCTACCCTTCCCTTTAGCACAGTGGTTCTCAACTCAATGGCAGGGGGATGTTTGCCTCCCAGGGGACATTTGGTAATGTTAGAGACATTTGGTTTTCACAACTGCTGTATGTGCATGGGGCAGGGTGGAGGGTGATGCTGGCATCTAGTGGGTAAAGACCAGGGATGCTGCTCAGAATTCTGCAATGTGCAGGACTGCTCCCACTACAGAGAATGATCTGGCCCCAAGTGTCACCAGTGCTGAAGCTGAGAACCCTGCCCGAGAGCTCACATGTGGATTAGTAAGAACAGACGAGAGGTGGTACACAAAGGTATGCTGCTGTTAATGATCATCTTTCCAAACTTAAAAAAACACATACATTGAAATAATTTAGCATTTACAGAAAAGTTGCAAAAATAGTTCAGAGAGTTCTGTCTACCCTTTCCCTGGCTTCTCCAAATAGTCTGATCTGGCACACATTGGAAAGTGATCAACTACAGCACAGCATGAAAAATAGGACCCTAATCTCAGCATACTACTTCCTCCAGACCTTGTATACACAAATATAATGTTTTTATTGGAAAATAGAATCATCACAGATACTGATCTGTAACCTCCATTTTTCACTTTGCAGTAGATTCTGACATTTACTTGTCAGTATACCTATAGAATTTCCTCATTTGTAAAGGAACACACCCAGTAATAGCCGGGCATGGCGATGCATTCCTGTAGTTCCAGCCATCCAGGTGGCTGAGGTGGAAGGATTGATTGAGGCCAAGAATTCGAGACCAGCCAGAGCAACACAGCATGACCCTGTCTCTAAATTAGCCCTGTGGTGGTACACCTGTAGACCCAGCTACACAGAAGACTGAGACAGGCAGATCACTTGAGCCCAGGAGTTCAAGGTTGTAGTGAGCTATAATCATGCCATTGTACTCCATCCTGGGTGACGGAGCACAACCTCATCTCTTGGGGGAAAAAAAAAGAGAAACTCCCAGTATTACATAGTACAGCTTAATTTCTTTATCTTTGTCTAAGGTAACGCAAACTTCTTAAAAATTTAGAAACGACTTTTTAACTGGTGGTGCTCATTTTTCCCCCCAGGATGTGGGACAGAAAAGAAATGATCAACAGATTGAAAATGTTTTGTGCAGCATAGATGAGCAACAGGCTGCTTGGAGGCACAGGAATTTCTCTGACTTGAATGGGGAAGCTGGGGACAGTGAGGCCACCCACAGTGGGTCACTTGGGGCCTCTCTTGGCAGTAGACTCCCCAGCTCAGTGAACCTCTGGGCTCACCCTGGATAGCTCTCTCTGTGTGTCCTGGGTGGGGTGGGAAGAGAGGAAGAAGATTCTGGCAGGTAGTGAAAGAGGCCTTTTCCCTCCCAATGTCTTCTGTCTTTGGTGTTGAACACAAGGTTCTGCCTTATTTTTTCTGAAATGAGTCCCAAGAGGACAGATCACAGGAAGGAAGTAGGAGGCTCTTTGCTTCTGTTGATATTTCTGCTTTTTATTCGGTACAAATGTCCATTGGATCAGCCAAGTGAGCAAGTATTTGGGAATCTTAAGAAACCAAATAAACAAAGCCACTATATTTTGCCTTTTCAGGCAGACCACAAGGTGGGAGTGTGTTTGTGTAAGCAACATCCATTGGGGCCTTACTCAGGGTGCAGTGCTCACTGATGGGTGGGGCAGGGGCGAGGATGTGGTCAAACTGTACTGCAGACTCAGTTCCTGCCCTGGAGACCCCCAAGGTCTAGTTAGGGGGAAAAGGGAAATGTTTCTCCCAGAGAGAATTAATAAAAAATACACAGTAGTGGGATAAAGTTCTAAATGGACACACACGAACTGTAACTGACAGAAGTAGAAGAAATTACAGGAAGATTGCTGTGGTTTAGCAGAGCACAAACAGCTGAGTGAGGGCTGAGGCCAATACTAGCAATGGGCATTGAGGGAGGGGCTCAGTCAATGGGTTCTAAGGTGTGTGGGTGTGTATGGAGCTGAGGTTGGAACAAGTCTACCTGGGGTTTTGGTTTGTCTTTTTTTTTTGAGTTGAAGTCTCACTCCTTAGCCCAGGCTGAAGCGCAGTGGCATTCATGCTCACGGCCACCCCAGCGTCAAGCTGCTAGGCTCTGGCGATCCTTCAACCTCAGCCTTCTGAGTAGCCAGAACCACAGATGTGTGCTACCATGCCCGGCTATTTAAAAAATTTTATTGTAGAGATGAGGTCTCACCAAGTTGTCCGGGCTGGTCTTGAACCCACCGGCTCAGGCAATCCACTTGCCTCGGCCTCCCAAAGTGCTGGGATTATAGGCTGAGCCACCAAGCCCAGCCTTTTTTTTTTTTTTTTAAATAAAAAAGAGATGATCTGGTTCTGCCATCCAGGCTGGAGTGCAGCTATGTAATCACAGCTCACTGCAAACCTCAAGCTCCTAAACTCAGGTGATCCTCCTGCCTCAGAGTAGCTGGGATTATAAGCATGAGCGACTGCACCGGCTTTTGCTTTGTCTTTTTATTTCCACTTCCTGGTCAGAAGCCCGGGACACAATAGGCGTTCAATAAATTCTCAAGTACAGTTAAGTATGCCAGCTCTGGAGTTGGACTGAGCCCCACTCTTGGTTCCTTGTCCTCTGTGTGCCTCAGCATGTGTATCTGTAAGGCCAGCATAGCAGAACACCCTACCTCCAGGTGTTATGGTAAAGTTTTTAGAACAGCATCTGGTGTGGAGCTCACTAGAATCAAACTTTATCATTTGTTCATTGAATACATGATTAAGTAGGGGCCAGGTATGAGCCAGTCACTATTGGCAGTTTCTGTGTAAGGGAGTTTCTTTCATCCAACAAATAGATGTTAACAAGCCCCTTTAGCTTCTCAAGTGCAAGAAAAAGACACACCCCAATTGTTTTCAGTGATGAGGAAGGTGGTGCAGACACAAGGGACCCAGAGATGGCTAAGGCATCACCTCTTTAGTACCCAGTGACACCTCTTGCCACTCCCCCATGGAGAGAGTCGACTGGGCTAGGTGGTTTGGAGCCCAAGATTCAGCCTCAGTCATAGCCAATCCACAGGCGAAAAGCCCTTGAATCCTATGGCCATGTAAGCTGGTAGGTCCCACCTCCTGGACAAGGTTCCATCCCACCTCTCACTCACCAGGCGAGCATCAGAACAGGAGTCTCGTGCCCTTAGAGCCTGCCCTCTTACGGGACATCAGTAGCCTTGCTGTGTTTGGTTGCCAGCCATGGCAGTGCATGCTCCCCACATCCCACCCTTTCATCTCCTTCTGTCTCAAAACCAGGAGAAGGAATCCATCCACTGAAACCCCCAAAGAACTCAAGGCTAGGAGACTCTGACAGGACCCCCCAGAGTTGCGAGTTGGGCTGTTTACATCACCCTGAAGAGTCAGGAGGCAAGTTGGGACCCGCCCTCTTTGCAGAGCACAGCAGGGAAGAACCCGGACAGGCGATCGCCAGGTAGGTGGCTCAGAATATTCCAGCAGGCCTCCCCACTGACAGTCTACACAGCACAGCTACCCAGTGGGAAGGATACAGCAGGAAGTGCAATACTGTGACCCAACCTGGAGCTCAAGGCCCTCAGGTCTTGCTTCTCATAGCTTTCCTTGCTGATGAGAAAAGTGAATATTTGCACCATGGGCAAAGATAACATTGAATTGTCCAAGGTTACAGAATGTTACTCATATTCCTTCTGCTGGTCAGATCTGTCTTTCTTCCACATTCCTCCTCCTCTTTAATCAAGACAAGACTGAAGGAGTCATTGGTCTGTGAAATAGTAACCAATAAAAAAGAAAAACAACCAGTGTGTAACAGACAATGTGCTCATAAGTACTTGATGCACACCAGGTTATTAAATCCTGGCACTGTGAAATAAATTGTTTTAATCCCCAATTTACAGGTGAGAACTCTGAGGTCTTTGAGAGACCAAGTGACTTGCCCAAGGTCCCTGTTTTCCTGAAGGGGGGCTGTGATTCTAGCAGTGTCATTTCCTGTGCTCTTAACCATTATGAGTCCCTGGTTCCCTTATTTTTTCAGCAAATATGTAATTAAGTATGGGTGGGATAAAACAGAGACCTTGAGAATAGCTGAGTCTGTCCGTGGTTAAACCACAAGCATATAACTGTGGCAAAGGCAGAGTTAGGAGAAGCACGACTCTGTCGTGCTCTGGACTACCAGACTCCTCATCAAAAAGTGGAGGCATATGGTTTGACCAGCAGAACTATTTTCAGGGGTGTATATGAGTCTGTCTGTCTGTCTGTCTGATCTCAGGTCATTGCAGTCCTAGGACTAAGTCTACATCTCAAGGCCACAAACACTGATCCTTGGATCACTTGGCAACCTTGCTGTGCGGAGCGATGTAAAGGGGGTCGTGCACATGTCACACCCAAATTGTCCTCCCAGACAGACACAATGGTGTCACTGTGCTCCTCTTTCTCAGAGAGGTACGCCACTGCCTCCCAGCCCTCTGAGTCCACAGAATGGTGGCTTCTGTTGATTCCCACCCTTTTCTTTGTTTTTCAAATGTTTTCTCAAATACTACATTCACAGAAAAAGACACAGAGGGGAAAAAAAAGCAAATGGAATTTTGCCAGCACCCCGGAAGCCATCCAAATGATCCACCCAGTTGTACACTTTGACAGATGCTTCCTCTCTGTCTCCAGTGTACCTTCACGCTTCTCTCTCCTCCACTTCCATGTTGAACTCTGAAATTTTGACTGGGCTCGGTCTCCCAGCACTCCCAGACTCCAACTCAAAAAAGAAAAAGAAATCTGAAATTTTCCCTCCAGATATGGATCTACTTTGTTTTGTTTTTACAATATACATATCCACATTTACTTAGATACAGCATAAGATCTCACCAGTATTTATTTATTTATTTATTTATTTATTTATTTATTTATTTATTTATTTGAGTTGGAGTCTCACTGTTGCCCAGACTGGAGTGCAGTGGCCGCCCCCGGCCACTGCAGCCTCAACGATCCTTCCGTTGGGCTCCGACGATCCCTCCGCTCAGCCTTCCAAGTAGCTGGAACTACAAGAACCGCGCTACCACGCCCGGTTAATTTTTTGATTTATTGTAGAGATGAGGTCTCGCCAAGTTGCCCAGGCGGGTCTTGAACCCACTAGGCAATCCACTCACCTCAGCCTCCCAAAGCGCGGGATTACAGGCTGGGCCACCGAGCCCGGCTTCACCAGTGTTTTAGACACTGTGTCTCTTGGATCTGCAACTTCCTTTCTCTGTAGTGTGCGGTATTGGGGCTGGAGTGTCCTATCAAATGAGAGTTCCTGTTCTCATGACAGGAGCCAGCTCCTGGGGTTATGAGGGGAAAGGGCTACAGGATGGGGTGGTTCATGTTCTTCACATGGGACTCTGCACCCTCCTTAGTAGCTAAAGGCTCCCAGGCCACTGCTTTCCACCCTTTGAGCAGGGCCTCCTGTCCAGGATACTTAGAACACTGATTTCCTCTTGAGTTTTGTTTTCCGCTTGTTTTAATACAAGAGTGACAGTTCAGTGGGACTTGAG